ATATATTAGATGCGTAACTTAGGGGGCTTTCACACTGGCAGTTTAGTTCGGAACGGGGCACGGTTCGCATGAAAAATCGCTAATGTGAACGCTGTCATGGGACCCGGGTGCGCACTGGGGTACCGAACCCGAGACTACCTGGAGGAGGTGGTCTGAGTTCGGTTGCTCCCGAACCGTGCCGCGGTTCGCGTGAATGTGAAAGCAGCACGGACTCGGGTGCGCACTTGTTCAGGAAGTTAAGTGACCTGCGCATGCGTTTTAGCTTATTGTGATGTATTCAGTTAAATAAAACACTTGTAAGGGATGATAGTGTTGATGATTTACCTTGGATACGAGCGAGAGTGAGCCTGCTGTGTATTTGTGCATTGCGCGTGAAATCAGGGCACCAAATTTGGAAATCCTCTGTCTCCTCAAAAAGAGTCCGTTTGCAAGCAGTAGAAGGCCACCTTATGTGACACACGCACAGTAAACCTGTATTGTTCACTCAACTGCGCATAATAGCAGCGAATGAATAAAAAACACAATATTGACCCACGTTCTGTTTTCCATCATGCGCCGTGCACGTTTGCGATGACGTAATATGCACACAAACGCACCATGGGTTCGATAGAATCAAGCTGAGTGTGAAACCAGACCAACACTGCTGGGGGCGCCGGGAACAAATGCACTCGGGCTCGGACCGCAGCAAACGAGCCCAGTGTAAAAGCCCCCTTACTTGTGCACAACTGAATGGCGGTGAGAGAGAAAGGCGAGGCAATTAAAAAAATTGCAATGGCAGATTTAAGAAGTTGCAAATGCCTAATACATGGTTTTCACATTGGAGCTGTGAGTGTAAATTTTCATGTACAAGTACAAATATTTATAAAAATAAGTTCTCAAATTCACATCTACATGCTTTCGAGTTTTGCTACTCTTCTCCTTGATGTAATCCTTTCCAATCTTCAAGCAAAAGGAGCTGAATAAAATACTCTGAATGATATCAATCCTCAGTCTGACTTGTGAAGCAGCCTGAATCCTAACACACACCATGTTCGTTGTTTGGCCAGAGGAGAACTGGCCCCCCGACTGAGCCTGTTTTTCTTTCTTCATTCTGTCTCCTGATGGAGTTTGGGTTCTTGCCACTGTCGCCTCGGACTTGCTTAGTCTGGGCTTTTATTGATCGGCCTGCATTGACACCATTATATGAGAACTGAACTGAGCTGGACCATGACATCAGTGTTTTCTGCAGAGCTGCTTAATAATGAAAATGAACTCTTTTTATAATTGATTGAACAGAACTGAATCAACACTGACACTATTTTCTTTTTAGAGCAGCTTTACAGTCAAATTGAACTCTGTTTGCATCATTGATAATTTTTCTGTTCAACCCTGTAAAGCTGCCTTGAAACAGTCATTACTGCATATAGCGCTATTAATGGTGACTTTACATTTGCAAAAGAAATTTATTTAGTGTTAAAGAGAGTGAAAGAGAGTTTGTTTCGCAAGGCTTCGCTTCAGATGGCCTTTATTAACCCCCAGGAGCCGTATGGATTATTCTTAGTGATGGATGGATGTATTTGTTTTGAGCTTCAAAATCTCGTCCTCCATTCACTACCATTATACAGCTTGGAAGAGCCAGGATAACTGATTGTATTCGTCTGTAAGAAAGTCATATACACTTTGGAATGCTTGAGGGTGAGTAAATATTTTAATTAATATATATATATATATATATATATATATATATATATATATATATATATATATATATATATATATATATATATAAAAAATTTCATTTTTGGGTGAACTATCCCTTTAAAATGGTAATACCTGACTGACTTTTCCATTTGTTGTATGATATGATTAGATTCAGATGGTAAAAATCATACAAGTTGGGTGTCCACCTTAAAGATAATCACCACATTTACAGTGAAACCATCATATGTATAAATATAATATTAATCATATTATAAAATATAATTTAGAGTTACTACTGTAAAGCTTTATTAAATTATCTCCTTCAATACTGGCAGAATATTTACTTTTTAAAATAATTTTGTTTCTGTATTTTAAAAAAAGAACATTTTAATGACAGTATATTGAACAAAAATTCATTTTCCATTGATCAAAATAAACCGATAATAGTGCAAACTTTGCTAAAGTGATTGTTTTGATCTAGTATTAACTTAGTACTGATTCAAATACTGCAGCTAAAATAATGTTTTTAATAATGTCTGTGTTTCTTTTGCCCCGTGCTGGTTTTACCCCGTGTGTCTGTGGGGTAAAAGACCTCTGAATACACTACATACAGCAGTTTCAAACAAACAAACAACACACTTTTATGATTTATTTTCACACAAAATCTGCTGCTCCATTATTGTTCAATAAAAACATGAATCATACAATCATTCTGCAATGATACAATATGGAAATAGTGAAAAGCACATTTGTATAAGGCCTTTAGCCCCGTTATACCCCATAGACCATATAATCCTGCAGCATATCAACACGATGATAACAGCTGGCTCAACACCAGACACTGTAGAAATGTCAACACAAAGCATGCAAGAGAAGTGGAGCCATTCAACAGTGGTGTAAGTATAGAGAGGGAGGCACACAAACCGTGCGATGACCCACAGGGTTATCTGAGGAATTTGAGAGGAGCTCCAGCCGCGTTTCATTATGATTTAATACATTCTTTGCGCAGCAGATCTGAGAAGACCAGAGCGCGCTCCAGCGCAAATCTTTCCACATGCACGCGTACAGTATCACGATCAGATGACTCTAACACGTGTTGTCATATCTCGCTGGCTCCAGTCCAAAATTAATCCAGGATTACACTTTAACACAGAGAGAACTCAATGACTAATAAACGCAGCTGACGGAGCTTTCACTTGTCGAGGACTTCTAAAGCAAACAGGCTATAAAATAAACGGAAGACACGTACAGGCGAGATCTAAAAATGAGGTCTAAAGGAGTGTTTGTGCTTGTGTTACTAGGCGCGTTAACCGCATATTACGTTTATTCACCAATCCCGAATAACATAGAAGAGAGATGGAAACTAATGCTCACTGACTCTTTCTTCAAAACTTTAAGTCACTTGGTAAGTTTGCTTGCATATGTATTTTAAGTGGATTGAGCTGCCTGAAAGTTTAATGCCAGTTAAACGCATGTGTATTGCGATATTACTGCCTTATATCTCGTATCGTGTTGTTATTTTCGGCTGGGTTGATTATAGAGTGTGATTACGCAACTAATCGCAGTTGTAACCTATGTTGTTTCAAGCATTAGATAATTTGTTTGGATTTCACAAGTGTTTGGCACGACACCTTCGTGTCTGCTCAGAAGTGTGTGTCAGAGTCAGGCAGATTTACAGTTTACAGATTATGTCAATTCTTAATCCGACCATTAAAGTAAGCTTTGTGGCTAATAATAGAAAGAAGTTATATTTAAATAAATACCTTAATGTGTAAATGCACCTTAAATAGGGACGAGTGTTGTAGTGTTGCTTCTTTTTTCCCGGTCTCAGTTTGTCTTACAAATTAGAGTTGTTTTGAAATCTACATCTTGTACATCTTATTAACTAAAATGAGTGTCACAGTTGTTACAACTACTGGCTGAGTTGTAGGTGGAGTGGAACACTAATACAAATATGGACATCAGTTTACATTTTTAAGTGACAATCATCTTGGTTATAAAATTAGCTGAACAATTTTCATTTTAAAGGTACAATATGTAAGAATTGTGTATCAAAATATCCAAAAACCACTTGCACAGTGTTATATATTTCTTTCAATTTTACATTATCCTAAATGTTTCCAAGAATTTGTAAATTCAGAGAAAATTGGTAAATAGTGCCCGTCAATTGTCGCCTGTCTATGTCGTAATATCTGCGTTATCCCTGGTTTCCGCTAGTACTGCCATAGTAACCATGGCGACAGATGTGGACAACTGCGTAATGTTTAGCGGCACGCTTACACTGTTGTTGTTGCATTCAAACATTATGGACCATGGCAAGCAGACTTTGGGACAAAAGGAGAACGAAAACTAGGATCAATATCGGCGTGGCGTTTTCACGATGCCGAGAGCTAGCATCCGCGACTAACTTCGATTTGACAGAGATGCCGCTCTTGCATGCACTTTATTAGACAGGTGAGCAAATGTACATAAAACTAATCAATGTTATATAGCTCAACATGATGAAATGTTAGAATATGATCAGTATGTTATTCTAATTTTGATCTAGCTTACTGCTAGTCTCATACAGCCAACAAACTAACACATAGAATAACATAACTTTCAACACACTCAATTGAAGTTTAGTATGATAGTGTAGACCAAATGAAACACCTCACAATTTTAATTTGTTACATAAACTGTTTGAGTAGTAATTCAGCACTTGTGGGTAGTTCGGTAAATTAAAATGTCCTTATTCCTTTATAACCGCGGGACTCGAGTCTGGCGCTGATATATGTCTCTCATTAGCAATCGCGCCCTGCTTCATACCACAGTCATGTTAAAAACATCAATGTTTTCACTCATCCATAAACATTATTTCCCATAAACATTATTTAGATCCATCAGCATGATGACAAGTTCCATGATTCCGCTTATTCACTGCGTTATCCATCTACGCCTTTGTTATTAGGCTAACTATAGAGGTTAGCGACCCCTAGCGGCAAAAAATATTTCCCTTTAAAAAGGTAAACAAACAGGAAACATTTAAATTGTAAACAAGTTTGAAAAAAAAATGAATACTGTACAAACACATAAAAACATGGCTAACAACTAAGGAACAGACCACAATGTCTTTTTATGCTGCATCCCAATTTACCTACTTGTACTACGCCCCCAAAAAATATGTCGGCTACTCTTTTTCTGAAGAAAAGGTACATACTTTTGAGTGTAGCAGAAGAGTAGGCAAATTTTAGAACATTATACCATGTCTTAATTGAATTTTTTTTTCTTGGCATATTTGTGTTGTTGATCCTGTGGTTGGAAACTGGCCTGTCAATCATCTTGTCACAGTTAACTTCCACATATGCTATCGGAAATTTCCTACTTCCCACTTCTGAAGTCATGATAAATGGTGCGTTCAAGTCCTCCTGAGAAGTTCGTATTTACGAGGTGGGAAATCGTGTGTTCAAGTCACTTTCGTCGGACTAAGATGGCGCCATTGTACTTTCTCTTACATATTTACTCAAAAATACAGCAAAGAACGCAGGTTAATGTGTTCTAAATACCAGGAGAAATCAGAGTAAGGGGCAAAAATCTAGCTGAGTCGATCGGTTTATACCTAAACTTATGACTTGACTCTGATAAAGGAAAACTGGTAAATGCGTTTACATGATCACATGCATTGTCAGTTTATTGAGCATAATCGGGTTAAGAACGTGAAAATTCCCTGAAAAATTCTTCATTCCCTGAAAGTGAAAGCAGCTGCATTAACGCCGCATTCTCTCAGAGACGACGATGGATATAACGGTATAGCAACTATCTTAATTTACTGGCTTAATATTTCTCTTGTGGACCTACATTAATGACAGTGAAAAAATTAGAAGAATATTTCTTGTTAAACAAGTATTTGAAGCTGCTTTTGATTTTCACAGATGCCAGAGTTGTGCTGTGTTCGTGAACTAAAGACTGTTATTAGGCCTACAGTGTTTCCCCTACCTAAAATGCTGACGAAATCCAGTCATAATAAAGGAATTTAGTGTATAACGCGGAATTTCACGGAATTTGTAAATTTGAGGAAAAAATAGAAAGCAGTTCAGTACAGTTGAAATCAAATCGCGATGTAGACTAGTGTGTGTGAATATTAAAACACAAAGACTATTTAAATATGAATCCTGCATGTTCTGCGTGAATGAATGGTGCCGCCGACGCGCAGTTTCATTTACCATACACACACACACACACTGAAGCACGTGTGACGCTTGCGCTGTTTTTTGGCCTATAATATGAAGACACAAATGCATTCCTCTTCCTCTCCAGGCTCTAGATCCACTCTGAAAGTCACTTCGTGATCATTTCACCGCTTCATTTGAGAAAAACTATCATCATGACATAAAAACACAGAAACTCAAAAGGTCTTCACAGCAACCCGTCAAAATAAAAGTTCGGTTTAACTTGACATAAATATATTACTGTTGTACATTAGAATTTAGATATTTTCCAATGTAATAATACACTAACACCAATCCAAATAAATTATCATCAAAAAAATGAATTTTTTATTTTTTAATCCATGTTTTAATTTTAATAGTAAAGCTCATTGTGCAGCAAGTTATTTGACAAAAAGTTTATTTAATTTCATATGATTAAAATTGATGATAAATGATAAAAATGTGTGTTTTATGTCTTCATTTTATTACCAGAAAAAACACAACACAGTGTGATTTTTTTTTTTTCATATATATATATTTTTTAAAAAGTATAAGTTTAATGATTCATAATACATGATTTCAATTAATTAGACATGCTTTTTGATTGCAAAAAAAATTACACCACGTATCCGTAACACGCCCACTCCGCAACACTAGCAGTCCGCAACACTAGCACGGCTCCAGACTAACTTTTCCACTGGTTGCACTGGTGCTACCAACTTTCTTAGTTGGTCGCACCAGCATATGATTTGGTCGCACCTTTTTTCTTTTTTTCTTTTTTGCTACATGCCATGGGATTAATCAATGCATGCTGAGCTGATGAATAGTGGTTTTAATGGACCAAGGTTAGCAAAGGCTTTCTGGGTTGCAGCATAAACACCTGTAATATATTATATAAAAACACATGTAATATATGGTAAGTATCATTGCCAAATTTCAGGATTTTCATGGATTTTGGACAGTAATTTTAATCTGTAATTTTAAACATTTTACATTTGAATTATACAATCTATATATTTACATTTGAATTATATTATATCTATCTATCTATTATCATCTTTCTGTCTATTATCATCTTTCTATCTTTTAAAAATCATTAAACATTCAAATGTATGCATTACATTTTAAAATATTAAATATGCTGATACAGATTTTCGTTATCAAAGTTTATAGTTGTAACAAAAATCAGAAATCTCACACTCCTTACCTTCTGCATTTTATAATCATTTCCTTTTCCTCTGTGGAGCGATTACTCTCATCTAACCGCTGAAAAGACGTATGAAGGGGCTCGGTGTTTTGTGAGACCTTTTCATTTTTATATGCCTTAATTCCTGAATTCCTAATTGGCGCGTTTCACCATCAGTGTGCAATGCGCGTGACGTGTACGTTCGTCAATAAATAAACTGCACGTGTCTTGCGGAAGAACACTGTAGCCGGAGCTCCTTCTCTCCGTTAATGTCTATGGCGAGTCACGCAGGCACTGGGCTACTCCGCAGCCGAGACGACCCCGGGATAAAATAGTCAGAATATAAACACTTATTATAGGCGTACCGTAGTGATTCAGGATAAGTCAAAAACACGGTTTTGAAAATGGATTCATGATGTACTCGTTCATTTTGAACATAAGTTACGTTACGGACTGCAGCAGCTGCTGATACAACGGCGTTCTGTTGCGCGAGCGTCCACTCACACAAATGCGACCACATACAATTTTAACTCGCACATTCTCAAAAAATGGTCGCAGTCTGGAACCCTGATTAATGGTAAAACGAGCCAATTATCGTATTGATATCGTCAAAGGCATCTGCCATCAGCGATATCTCTGTCTGTCGTTGATACACGATACTATCTTCTATCGACACAATCCTACCTGACAATATACCTTTAAGTATTGTGGTATTCCACCAACTCGTTAAGATCGGGGCTTAAACAAAATCCCGAGCTTCCCACTCGTATTTACGACATTGTGGTGGCGTTCATGTGCGTTCAACTCGTATATCGAAAGAACAGGAATCGTGGAGGACACCTGATTTATTCATGCTTATTTATTGGGAAAATCATGCACATCAACCATGACTGTACATTTTAATTCTTTAAATAGGAAGGACACTTGTTAAGCATACATTTTTTGTAATGAAGGGAGATTTTACTCTTGAATAAAAAGGAAATGAACGATATGGTTGTGTGTGCCACTTGTATGCTGTTTGTCATAACACAA